GTTACCTGACAAAATCATATTACCTGTCAAAGTTATGTTACCTGACAAAATCATGTTACCTGTCAAAATCCTCTGACTTGTCAAATCATGTTACCTGACAAAATCATGTTACCTGACAAAATCATGTTACCTGTCAAAATCATGTTACCTGCCAAAATCATGTTACCTGCCAAAATCATGTTACCTGCCAAAATCATATTACCTGTCAAATCATGTTACCTGCCAAAATCATGTTACCTGCCAAAATCATATTACCTGTCAAATCATGTTACCTGTCAAAATCATATTACCTGTCAAAGTTGTTACCTGACAAAATCATTTTACCTGTCAAATCATGTTACCTGACAAATCATGTTACCTGCCAAAATCATGTTACCTGACAAAATCATATTACCTGTCAAAATCCTCTGACTTGACAAATCATATTACCTGTCAAAATCATGTTACCTGCCAAAATCCTCTGACTTGACAAATCATGTTACCTGACAAAATCATGTTACCTGACAAAATCATATTACCTGTCAAATCATGTTACCTGCCAAAATCATGTTACCTGACAAAATTATATTACCTGTCAAAGTTATGTTACCTGACAAAATCATTTTACCTGTCAAATCATGTTACCTGCCAAAATCATGTTACCTGACAAAATTATATTACCTGTCAAAGTTATGTTATCTGACAAAATCATTTTACCTGTCAAATCATGTTACCTGACAAAATCATATTACCTGTCAAAGTTATGTTACCTGACAAAATCATGTTACCTGCCAAAATCCTCTGACTTGACAAAGCATGTTACCTGACAAAATCATGTTACCTGACAAAATCATATTACCTGACAAAATCATATTACCTGTCAAAGTTATGTTATCTGACAAAATCATTTTACCTGTCAAATCATGTTACCTGACAAAATCATATTACCTGTCAAAGTTATGTTACCTGACAAAATCATGTTACCTGTCAAAATCATGTTACCTGACAAAATCATGTTACCTGTCAAAATCATATTACCTGTCAAATCATGTTACCTGCCAAAATCATGTTACCTGACAAAATCATTTTACCTGTCAAAATCCTCTGACTTGACAAAATCATATTACCTGTCAAAGTTATGTTACCTGACAAAATCATGTTACCTGCCAAAATCATGTTATCTGACAAAATCATTTTACCTGTCAAATCATGTTACCTGACAAAATCATATTACCTGTCAAAGTTATGTTACCTGACAAAATCATGTTACCTGCCAAAATCCTCTGACTTGACAAAGCATGTTACCTGACAAAATCATGTTACCTGACAAAATCATATTACCTGACAAAATCATATTACCTGTCAAATCATGTTACCTGCCAAAATCATTTTACCTGTCAAAATCATGTTACCTGCCAAAATCATGTTACCTGCCAAAATCATGTTACCTGCCAAAATCATATTACCTGTCAAATCATGTTACCTGCCAAAATCATGTTACCTGACAAAATCATTTTACCTGTCAAAATCCTCTGACTTGACAAATCATGTTACCTGACAAAATCATATTACCTGTCAAAATCCTCTGACTTGTCAAATCATGTTACCTGACAAAATCATGTTACCTGTCAAAATCATGTTACCTGCCAAAATCATGTTACCTGCCAAAATCATGTTACCTGCCAAAA